ATCTATCTATCTATCTATCTATCTATCTATCTATCTATCTATCTATCTATCTATCTATCTATCTATCTATCTATCTATCTATCATTTGTGCTTCAGAGTGAAACAGCTCAAACATCAGCAGAAGTTTATCAAGAAAATCCAGTCCAGTCTTCAGACCAAATGAAGGTTGAACATAAATAAAGACTGAAGTCTTTAAATAAAACTATTTCAGAGTTTTTCTTTAAAGGTCACAACTTTCTGTGTATTTAAACTTAAATTTCACTTCAAACCAGCAGATGTTTGTCTGCAGCTGCAGATGCTTTTATTTTGATTTCTGATGCAGAAGTTTGTCTCAGCAGCTTCCTGAGATGTTGGAGGCTTCAGATGAAAGCTGGTGTTCTGATGAAGACTCACCTGATGATGAAGAGTTAATGGACCATTTCACAGCAGAACCAGAACATGAAGATGCTCAGATTGATCTCTTCAGTTTCCAGAAGGTTGCCGACAAACAGCCGACGTCCCAGCATCTGTTCCCACCACGTCATTACATTCATGGTTGCGAGATACATTTTCGAATTTACAGATTTGTTTTTAGTTTTTAGCTTTAGTTCCAAACTGTCTTGTGATGATGGCAGTCCTTCATTAACTGTGAGTTCAGGAGTCTCCTCCTCCATCCTGGACGCTCTCAGTTTATGACAAATACCTTTGACTCCATTTCATTTGAACGTAGTTGGATTAGAAGTCGTCAAACTTCTGTTAGTTACTTTTTTTTTTTACCCCAAATTATTTTTCAGTGTCGTCTTGCAAACAGAAAGTATGCAGCTTTTCAAATGTTCACATTCACCGGGCAGAATAAAAACTATGTCAGCTGACGTGGAAAACGAACCAAGAGAAGAGCCTCATGGTTGGAGGACGTCTCCACCCTGTCGGCTCATACTGGCCTTGAAAGCCTTTTTCAGCTGCTGACGCTTTGTTTTCCAGCTGCGTGTTGAATCCGTGAATAAAGATCAGAGCATACCTCTTTCTTGCCATAGTTCTCCTGGGCGTGTCCAGACGGATACACCACCGTCTGTCCTCCATCATGGCCGTCGGTTCTGGTCCGAGCGGTTCGGCGTCGCTGCGTCTGCGGACTGAAGGACTCGAAGTTCAGGGTTTTGTTCTCGAAGGCTCCTTCGACGTTGCAGAACATCCCTCCATACTTCATCCGAGGACGAGGAGAGTCGGAGCCGAGCCGAGAGAGCAGAGAGGAGCAGTCGTCCTCCTGAGAAAACCTCCTCTCAGACATGATGGAGAGAAGTGCTGGATCCCAGAGGAGCTGCAGATGAAGAGGAGGAGGAGGAGGAGGAGGAGGAGGAGGAGGCCGGTTGGCTGAAGACCTCAGGCCATAAATGAGGAGGAGGAGGAGGAAAAAGGAGGCCAATGAGGGGGAGGAAACATGACCTCAAACTGACACTGAGACAGGCAGAGGAGAAGAAACATGATGAAGCTGCGAGAGGACAGTTAAAGAGCACAGATCTGTAACCAGTTCATCATGTCATAGTTAATATCTGCTGACTCCCAGTCTCTCACTGGTTTCCTGATAACACTTCAAATACATTAAAGTTTTTTTTAACTGAATATCTCTGTAATGCGACATAACATTATGGACTGGAGCTGCAGTACCTGGTTGTTCCACCAGGTGGAGCCTCTCACTGTTTAATCCTGTAGAGACCAGAGGAGGCATCTCCAGACTACAGCTCATGGTGGCAGCAGAGAGCATTGTGGGAGTTTAGCAGCAGTGGGACCATGACAGAGACTCTGAGGAGGTTCAGGACCTCCAACCAGAGTTAACGTGTTTAAGACAAACTGGGATCAACAGAGTTCCTGAATCGCAGCAACAGACGGAACAGAACGGACTGAGGAACAAACCAGGAGTCTGTGGATGGAAACATACGGTGGCCCAGAAGTGTCACAACAAAACAAAAGCCACAACACAACCAAATCAACCACAACACAACCAAATCAACCACAACACAACCAAATCAAACACAACGGCTGCAACGGAGGTTGTTGTTTTTTTTAAACCTGGAAGTTACTGTGAAGTGTGCGACCACAGGAAGTGGGCAGAAGCCGGAGATGGTTGGAAACAACTCCAGAAGTAAAACACTGATGGCAGATCCTGTCCAGTCATCTGGGGATGCGCTATTAGCAAACATTCGTGAAACTTTTGGCCAGTCTGGCCATTTTCAACATCTATCACCTCCAAAGCGCGTTTCCACCACGGTCAACACACACGCCGCCGCGGCTCGCCACAAAACAGGAAGTGGCTCGTAAGTAGGCCACACGTGCTCCGATCTGCCCCAAACTCGACACGCCGGATCACAGTCCCGCCCGGAGCAGGTTTCTGCCACACCCCGCCGTGCACGAAGGGCAACAAGCGTCGGCGAGGACCCGTCCAGTGCCGCTGGCGGCTTTAATTTGGTTGTGTTGTGGCTTTTGTTTTGTTGTGACACTTCTGGGCCACCGTAAAAACATCAGCACAGAACAATCGAACACTGATCAGCTTCTGTTATCAGTCAGTTGATTATTGATTGGTAATGTTCCAGAAAACTATTAAACATTAGCATCCTGCTACAACCTGTGCTGTCCCTTCCTGACCCCTGGTGGCAGCAGACGTAAACTCAGGATCAGGATGAAGCGCTGCTCTTTGCTGATCTCCAGGATCACGTCGGATCCACTCTAATTTTGACGATTGTGTTCTGATCAGAGGTCGTTGGTTTGAATCCGTCGGCAGCTCGTTGATGTTTGTTATTGGTTTTAAGTGAGCTCTGAGTTCAGACACACACACACACACACACACACACACACACAGGTCAGTGCTCATTACTGTTAATGCTCTGAAGTCGCTGCAGTTTGAACTGAATTTCGTTGTCTGTCAGTTTCACTTTATCAAATGACACACACACACACACACACACACACACACACAGACACACACACTCACACACTCACACACACACAGACACACACACTCACACACTCACACACACACACACACACACACACACAGACAGA